GCTGTGATTTTTCCTATCTGCACGGACTAGGACTGACTGGTACACATTTCTGCTCACATAAGGTGCTTTTCTCTTCCTTCTGTTCTCTTAGTGAATCTAGAGAAAAAGGCAAGTTTCTTGTTTACTTGGGCTTTTCCTGAAGAGCAGACTCTCTTATGCTCACGTGGCTTCCTTAGGGAGCCCGTTCTACAAACTGGCCCTCCCCGCCTTGCAGGGCTCAGGCACCTGGAAAACCCTCAGTGGGGAGCAGTGACAGGTATGAACTTGGGAACTACAGCTGGAGATAGGAAAGCATGGGACTTCGGGGTCAATCATTCACATTTAACTGCTAGAGAAGTACATCGGACACCTCTAAATTAGGCATTCTTTTACATTTTAATTATTGGGCCAAGTCCTCGGTTGATAAGAAAATAAGTTCAATGCATGTATGGAGGGAAGACCAGGCACTTTTTCTTTTTAATCCAAAGACTCCCTGTGGTCTCAAGCACAAAAGCAAGTTACTTATCACTAACAATAGCTAATATTATTTGAGTGAGCACTAAATGCTAGATACTGTTGTGTGCCTTTGAATACATCATTTTTAAAAAGTATGTTTTTATTGAGAAGAATGCTGCCTGTCAAAGGCCTGGCTTTTTATTCTTAGTTTTGTAGCAGACCAGTTGAGTCCCTGAAAGCATGGAGCAATCTGTTCTCTCCTTTCGGAGGAAGTTTTTCTTGGGATCATGTCCCTGGTCCTCCCTTACCCTATGCCAGTGATCGGCAAACCGTGGCTCATGAGCCACATGCAACCGACATCCCCGCTTCTTCTAATGCCACTTCTTCAAAATAGACTCGCCCAGGCTGTGGTATTTTGTGGAAGAGCCACACTCAAGGGGCCAAAGAGATGGATGTGGCTCGCAAGCCAAGGTTTGCTGACCACTGCTCTAGACTATTGTTTTGTGAGACAGGAACCTAGGCGGCAGGCCAGAGCCCAGGGAGACAAGTGATCCCCCATCAGCATACCTGTCTCACAGTGCTCTCCTATGAACATGACTCCACTCAGCCTCCCCATGGAATGTTCCCTGGAATATACACTTCAACATCGTACTGTACAGAAGAAATTATTTTCTAAAGAAGGAGCAACAGGAAAGAATCGGTTGATTCACCATAAATTCTGTTGGAAACTTTATGGATATTGGAAACTACAAAATGCTTTTACTCCAGAAAAGGGGTATATCCTAGAACTAATGGTGATTTTCAAAGTCCCTGAATGCCTTCCAGGTACTCAGGGAAAATAGGAGTAGATAAATGTCACTCTTTTTTGAAGCCTCATTAAGTGTGAATTGTAGATCCAGGCCTCCACATGGGTGACAGAGGAAAGTACAATAGCAACTACGCGTATGTCGCCTCAATGTCCATCATGAGAGGATCAATAGACTCAAACTTTGGAATATTATGTAGTCATAAAAAATGAAATAGCTCTATCTACATGTATTGACATGGAAGAATACCTTATAAATTGTTTAGAAAAATTATGATGCACAACACTATTCATAATGGGATTTAATTTTTATGAAAATAGAATATACATACATATGGAGATAGAAATCTGCTTCATTGAGAGCTAGAACAACATATTTCAGCTGTTAACAGTGGATTTCTCAAGGTATTGAGAGTGAATAAAGAAGACATGAGTGGTGAGGGGGGAGGGGAAGAGAGGAATGTTTACTTTTTAATTTATTCACATATGTATTGTTTGGATTTTTTTCATAAACATGTATTTTATAAGACTTTGCATAAAAATATTTGTACCAGAAATGAATCTCTGTGTGTCTAATGCTTTGAAATTCTACTTGTACAAAGAAACATGCTGTCAAGAGCACAAGTGGCAAGCACCGAAAAATCTCCTTACAAAAGCAGTAGAAACTGTCTCTCACTTGTAAACATCGACTATTGCATGTCACAGATTATAGGAAGAAATAGAAGTGACATCCAAAGCTGCTATCTGACGGAAATCCTGACATCTGTGTGAGTGGGCTGATAGCAACGGTGGGAGAGAAATAGATGCAGTTAAAAAATATGCTGAAAGTATGCACATCCTATCTAATAAAGAGGGAATATGCTAATAATTGACCATCACTCCATCACAAAGTTGGCTGCACCCACAGCTGAGGCCAAGTTCCCATAAGGAGCCTTAAGGAGCAATCAGCAGGGACCTGAGGCTACACCCTCCCCAGCCCCTTTGGGGCTTGACAGGGGACCTCAGGCTGCACCCTTGGCCCCAGTGACAGGCCAGGAGACCTGAGGCCATGCCCCCCGCCAAGTGGGCTTGACAGGGAACCTCAAGGTGTGCTTCCCATCTGTGCTGGGCTAGGGGATCTCAGGTTGCTCCCCCTGACCCAGCAGCAAGTTGGGGAACCTCAGGCCATGCCTCCAACCAGGTGGGGCTTGACAGGGCCTCAGGCCATGCCTGCCACCCCAGCACCAGGCCAGGGGACCTGAGGCTGTGCCCCCCTGCCTGGCTGGGCTTGACAGGGGACCTCAGGCCATGCCCCCACCCAGCTGGGCTTGATGGGGGACCTCAAGGGGCACCCCCAGTGCTGGGTCGGGGAACTCAGCCATGCCCCTGCCCAGTGGGGCTTGACCAGGGATATGAGGCTGCGTACTCCGGCCTGGCAGGGCTTGATGAGGGACCTCAGGCCATGCCCCCCACTCAGTGGCATTTGACAGGGAGTCTCAGATCATCTCCCCCATCTAGCAAGGCTTGATGGAGGACCTCAAGGCACATACCCCCATCTTGGCATCAGGCTGGGTAACCTCAGGCCGCACCCCCATCTTGGTGCCTGGCCAGGGGACCTGAGGCTATGCCCTCTGCCTGGCAGGGCTTGACAATGGTGGGAATGGCCAGGTCTGGATCTAGTCCAATTGGGGATGAGGGGCTGCCAGGCCTGGGTCTCTTGTGATTTTGAGGTGCATGTGGGTGGGTGGGGATTTGGCTCTGGGTCCCATGGTGTTCCTCAGACCCTGACAGGAGGAAGGTTTTCACATACATTTTACTAATTTTTTTTCATCTCTTATACTTCCATTATAGAGAAAGGGCCAATAGCAATATTAAATTATTTCCTCTAATTAATCCCTGTTTAATGTGTATGAATTTTGTGCACTGGTCCATTAGTATTTTCATAATAATGTGGGAGAGATTGGCTGCTGCCCTGTTATGATACTTAGCATCTAGATACTGATTGCTATCCTTACACTTTCCTTATAGAGTCCCATCTCAACAGAGAGGGGAATAATTTTCAGGGAAATGAATCCATTGATTAATTAACATATTTGTATTGAGAATCTAATGTGTGCACTGGTCTATATACAGGATTGGGGAGAGGGTACACAAAGTGAATAAGAGCCAATAGTTGACTCAAGATGCTTATAAACTAATGGGGGAGTGAAAGAGGGACAGACTCCAGGATGCAATGTGGACCATAGTACAGCCAAACTAAAGCAGGACTCCTGAGTAGCATGGTTGGGTGGTCCCTCCAAAGTGAGGTGTTTTGTTTCCTATTTTTTTTTTTTTTTTAGAATAGAAAAAAACAGGAAAATCATTTAAGCAAAGAGGAAAGAGTCATTATGGAGAGGAGACAATGAGGAAACTAATCAGGTAATACTGGTGGAGGCCTGGAGAGAACCCAAAGGGAGGAATTGATCATGAGAAGAAGGTATATTATCTTAAGGAAGAGGCCCTGAGTGGAGAGGCAGAGATACTGGGATGAAGGAAAAGGAAGCCACAAAACCCACTTGTAACAGCTTTGACTTTCTTGGTCTAGAGAGAAGCTGCATCACTGACAGAGAGCCATAGGGTAGCGGCAGGGTTGGGAGCTGTGGGAAGATTTGGAATAACTGTTGGAAGATATGAAGAATATAAGTCAACCAGGAATGATGAGAAGGGTTTTGCAGCATCTTTGAGGTCATTGCTGAGTAGCATGAATTTTTAATGAAACTAATAAACTCTTTCATTACTTTCTCTTGTAATGTTGCAGGTAGGCACAGGGGCATGGAAATTCAGCTTGGCTGTAATGTATGTTTTGTAGAAATCAATGATTCTTATATTGAAAGCTTCATATGAAAATTCATTGGGAATAAATTGCAAATAATTGCATCATTTCAGATTTCACTTGGTCAATTTCTTTACCTTTAATATTTAATACTGTGGACCTGGTGCACATAATTTGAGCACTGGGTATTGGTCCCTCAGCCCAGCCTGCCCCCTCTCACATACTGGGAGCCCTCAGGGGATGTCCTACTGATGGCTTAGGCCCGCTCCCCATTGGGAGATGACCAGGCTGATCAGGGGAAGGTGCCAGGCCCATCACCCCGCTGCTGCAGCCACTGCCAGTCACCGCAGCCGCCAAGGTATTTTCATCAACATGGACTCCAGTCCCTTCACCATGAAAAAATGACAACTTTCTTTAAGCATTTTCAAGATCTGTCTTTCATAGGCTATGACATTTCTTTGTTTTTCTTTTTATCCTCACCCTGAGGTTATGTTTTCATTGATTTTTTCCCCCCTTCCCTCCAATCCCAAGCTTGGCCCCTGCCCAATCCTAAAATTTCCACCCCAGGCTTTATGCTTGGGAAGGGGTTCCCTCCCTCCCCTGTACCTCCAATTGCAGGCTCAGCCCCTTCCCAAGCCTAAAGCTTCTGCCCGATGGTCAGCTGGGAGTGACCTGGGTGCCGAGGAGGTTCTTGGGACCCAGGTATGCATGCGAATTAACTGCCATCTTTGTTGAGTTAATTTGCATACTAACTCTGATTGGCTGTGGGCATAGCAGAGGTATGGTCAATTTTACATGTTTCTCTATTATTAGGTAAGATTATGGTAGTCACATCATTCAGATAACCATATTTTCATAAAGAACTAGAAACAGTATCCTGTGCTTCCAATGTTAACCAAGAAAGTCATGCTATTAGAATTTCTAAAGTTTCTAGCTCACAATTGCTTCTCATGTGTTATGTATTTGCAGGTTGGAAAAACAAATAACATCCTTTTTGGAAGACCGGGACCCAGAGAGCAGACTAGAGGTTGGCGCCGATATGCGTAAAATTCATCACTGTTTCCGTCATTTAAAGGTAGGGTGAAGCCTTCCCTCTGGTAGAAACCTTCATCTGCCATGTTCAGACTATGGTGCCACTTTACTATTGACCATCTATGAAAGGGCTGGGTCCCACCCACACAGACAAATGGATGACCTTCAAACCAAGGCTATGGTTGTCCCTGAATTCCTGCAGAGTTTGTCTCTTACTTGAAAGGGAACAAGCTCAGATCATAGACTTTTAATTCTTTTGCCAGGAATCCCTACCTTCACCACAGAATAGCTCCATGTTAAAAAACTATATTTATTTTCAAGCTATATCCAGAGAATGGTACCTCTAGTGTTTTCCAGCAGTTTGGATTTATCCATATAAGTTCTCAGTCTTTTTCTGCCTTAAGTTTACCTTTGATGATGGTGCAAGGGAGTATCATTACCCTTACTTCCACCTCACTTATAATTTGACAAACTTCTGTAAGATAATGCACATTTGTTGTGAGTCTGTTGTGAGGCATAGAAAAGGCAATAATAAGTCAGTCATGGAGAAGACAGATAGGTAAGGAATAATTGCCATACATGGAAAGTGTCATTTTAAAAAGTGGTCTTGGGTTATGAAGTTCAAGAGGAGATCCTGTTGGGGCAGGAACTTCCCAGTTTAGGGAAGAAGAGGTCAGATAGTGGAGGGGAAAGAGGAGGGAGGACGGAGAGAGGGAAGACATGGCAAGCAAAGGAAACTGCATGGCACAGACAGGAGGAAGGAAGGGACATGCACGCTGGTATGTGTAAGTCATTGTGAAAGGTGGTAGTCTTAAAAAAACACAATTGGAATAGAGATACCGACACTAGCTCTTACCTCATCTTTCAGAAACTACTAATGGACAAGAAGGGTGATGAAACAAACACAATGTCCTCTGAAATCAAAGACCAAGACTGCCAGGAGCCACTGAAAGAGGAGGAATATAAAAAACTACGAGATATTCTACAGCAGAGAGATAATGAAATCAGTATCCTTTCTGAAGCAGCAAAAAACACTCCCTCTATGGGCCTGAGTAGGGAGAGGAGACACATTACCTGGTGCTCCACCCACCTGCTTCCAATACATGTTGTGTTTTCTGTTTTGAAGTAAGATGTCAATTTTATTTTTATTTTTATTTTTTTTAAATACATTTTATTGATTTTTTACAGAGAAGAAGGGAGAGAGATAGAGAGCTAGAAATGTCGATGAGAGAGAAACATTGACCAGTTGCCTCTTGCACACCCCCTACAGGGGATGTGCCCGCAACCAAGGTACATGCCCTTGACCAGAATCGAACCCAGGACCTTTCAGTCCGCAAACCGACGCTCTACCACTGAGCCAAACCGGTTTCGGCTAAGATGTCATTTTTAATTGTTTTTTTTTTCTTTTTGGTTCTCTGATTGAGTACTTTTTTCAACCCTGTCTTCTAATTCACTGATTTGATCCTCAGCTCCCCCTAATCTGCTGTGTATTCCTTCCAATGTGTTCTTTATTTGTATTATGTCATTCTTTATCTCAGACTGTTCTTTTTTTCATAGTTATGTCTTTTTTCATGCTGTTGAGCATTTTTACCATCATTGCTCTGAACTCTGATTCAGATAAATCTCTTATCTCTGTTTTATTTATCTCTTCCTCTTAAGGATTCTCTAGTTTTTTCATTTGGGGGATTGTTGCTTTGTCCCCTCATTTTGGCTTTCGGTTTGGGTTTGTGACTATATATTAGGTAGACCCTCTCAATCTCTAGTTCAGGGCAGTGTTAAAGCCTTTTTATGAATAATTTCATCAGGCATAGACTCAAAGCCTCCAGAGACTGCCTCTGCCTACAGAATCATAGGACTCCGCAGGCAATTGTTCTCTCAGGTGTGGCGAGAGTTTTTTTACACAGGGTGGGGCAGTTGCTTCTGCCTGGAGGCTAATGGTTATCAGGGCAAGGTGTTTTCCCATAGTGTGTGTCAACTGTCTTCCCCCCAGGCAAGGCAGATGTCTATGTGGAAAAGAAGTCCTCCGCTGTGAGAGAGAATGACTCAGCCCAGGAAACTTGGGGTATCTGCCTTCTGAGCTCTAGCCCCCGAATCACCAGTCCTGAGTTCTGCTCTCACGGCTCCAGTCCACTTCATTCTCCCTCTGCCAGAGCACAAGGTGGGTGGCTCCACATGGAATTTAGTACATTGGCCCTTAAAGAGGTTGCCTGAATTTCCAGCCATCTCTCCCTGGAAGACAGCACCCCACTGCTTTTCACAGCTAGACTTTTTGTGGGTACCCTACTCAGTTTTGGTGCTCTCTGCTGGGGTCCCAGCTTGGAGATTAGATCCCAGAGTTCTCAGTGGCAACCCCCCACAGCTGAGATATCTCTCTGGGACTTTAGTTGTTGTCTATAGGTTCGGGCCAGCCAGTTCATGCCTCTGCCCCTCATACCAGTCTCTATGTCGTCTCCACTTTTGGTCCTCAGGTATCAGGGATCTCTCCTACGAGTTTTCCATTGATTATTCAGGAAGTTTTTCTGTATTTTAGTTGCAATACCAGTTTGTTCCTAGGAGCATGTTCATGAAGCATCCACTTACTCTGCTACCATTTTTAATCTCTCTAAATACTCTTACCAACTTCTTAACCCCCTTCTGGGCTGAGGATGGTCTGTGCATTGAGGAGGGGATGTCTTTTTTTAAAATATATATTTTTATTGATTTCAGAGAGGAAGGAAGAGGGAGATAGAGATTGGCTTCCTCCTTCATGCTCCCCCCCACCCGACACACACACACACACACACACACACACACACACACACACACAAACACACACTGGGGATGAAACCCAGAACCCAGCAACCTGGGCCTGTGCCCTGACCAGGAATTGAGCCTTGACCTCCTGATTAATAGGTTGATACTCAACCACTAAGCCACCCTATCCCTTCAGCAAACAAAATGGAGCAACAACTGAAAAATGGAGTTGCCTGAAAAGAAAAATCTTTACTCTGTTTTTAGCCAGATATAATAGTTATTATAATGTTCCAGTTATATATATATATATATATATATATATATATATATATATATATATAGAGAGAGAGAGAGAGAGAGAGAGAGACTAAAATTTTCAGTTTATTGAAAAATGTGGGCTTTTGTACACTGTCTTTTCACATTAAAATTTAAAAATATTTTTGACTGCTCTGCAGTGCCCTTTCTGTTTCATCCCTGAGCCAGTAAGCTAACTGGTTATCTTTAGCCAGCTGACCGGACACCAGGCTGACCACAGCCTCACCAGGGCCCAGAATTTGTGGCTTGTGTGTGGGTGAAACTGAAATGATGACTGAAACATGACAAAAGGAATTTAGCTTATGAAGAGCGAAGATTGATTTAAATGTAACTTTTCATTTAAAGGCCAGATCTACTGCTTTGGGTTCCACTTACAGATGTTCCCAAATTTGGGTTCCACTTACAGATGTTCCCAAATTTGGAAGCGAGAGTCTGTGAGTGTTCAAGACAGCAGTCCCAGAGGCCCAGGAGGCGGTGAGTTTAGGGTGCTGACCGTGGTGGCCGCCTGGGAGTGGCCTCCAGGGTTAGACACCCTGCAGGGACAGCAAGCTGGCTACTGCAAGAGTCCCTGTTGGTGGAGGGAGACCTCAGGTCTCCCCATGTCCTCGGTATTGTTTCCCATTTTATCTTTCAAGCTTCTAATGAAAGATTTGACACTTTTGCAGACTTTAAACATACATAAGACATGATCTTGGTCAGTTCTTTATGAACAGGTATTTTGGTTCATGTTTGAAAAAAATTTCTAAAAGGCATTTTAGCTTCAGCTATTGTGCAAATTGCATAAAAATAACCTACACATGAAGGGAGTCCAGTAACAAAGGGACGAAAGAAAAAAGAGCACACACGTCACAAACGGGAGGCAGGCACGCCGCCTGATTAACTTCAACTTCTTGTTTTAGTTGAGAATTAGCAGGCCCCGTCTGTCTGATTCAGATGAGCGCTAGCTGCTTCATCGCCAGCCAGCAGCCGGGGCTCCCTGTAGCGGGGGGTGGGTGAGGGGGGGGAGACACTCCCACACAGGCCCCTGTGGGCCACAGGCAGTGTCACCCTGCATTCCTTTCCCCTCCCTCCCCATTACACCCCCCCCCCCCCCCATCCCAGCCTGGTCCTCGCTACTGGCCCAGCCCCAGCTAAGCTCGGCTGCTTTTCCTGGCCTGGGTCCTGACTGAGGATCTTCTCCCCTAAACACTCCCACCAACTTCCTAATCCCCTTCTGGGCGGAGGGCTGTCTGTGCCTGGAGGAGGGGTGAAAGGAGGTGTGACAGGGGGAGCAGTCTAGGCTGGCGTGCTAGTATATACATTTATTTAAGAAGAGAGCGAGAGAGCACAGGGCATCTCTCTTCTCCACTGCGGGTCATGGGACAACACTAGATTTCTTCCTGACTGCCAGTCCCTTGAGCAGGGTCCCCTCCCTCTGAGACTCATTCAAAATGATGGCGGGTGGGCAGGAGGCCTGGAAAAAGGAACACAGAGCTCAAAGCCCGCACCCAGACCCACTCCTGGCGCTCCAGGCACCTGCTCCACATCGTTCTGGGGAGGAGCGGCCTGCCCTGCAGCCCACAGGCAGGCAGAGCCAGGCTTCCTGGGTTGGCAGAGCGCTGGGTGGTGTGACAGACCAGACCCACATGCGACTCAGAGAGTGGGAGCTCAGAGGAAGGGAAAGAGTGGCCAGATCCCCCAGGAAAGGCTCCTGAGAGCTCACTGTTTTTCAGAGTTGGGTTAGAGGATATTTTCATACATATTTTGTGGAACCAAGAAGGCCAAGACTGTGGCAGGAATAAGAGAGAGACGACTTTACAGGGAAAAGTGCTAATACTCGAGGCCGGCAAGAGACAGCACTGCGACCAAAATGAGTGGACGGCGCTGAATGTTGGTCTTGGAGAGAGAGTGAAAATGATGTCATTTAGTGTCGTATCAGTTTGAACACCCCTTCTAATGCCCCTTCAGACAACATAACGGGGGTCCCCTAGTCCCCATACAGCGCTGGTGGGAAAGAAGGCCCACAGTGGGAAGGGGAAGACCACAGGAAAGATGAGGAGATGGTAGCTTTGCATTGTGAGCTTTATCAAATGGGAACCAAAACACGCGGTTGCCGTCTTCCAGGGCCTCCCATCAACCCGGAATTCTGCTCAGACTGCCTCCTCCAGACCAGGAGGCCTTGGTGATCCGCCCGCTACCCTGACTTCGCTCCTCACGCCCCTGTCCGGGGCAGTCTGCAGTCACAGGGACCTTGTTGTTGTTCCTCTAGCACAGGGTGTTTCAGCTTCGCACCATGCCATCTGTGGCTGCGCAGTGCTGTGCCAGGGGCCTCTCCTGTGCATTGTGGGAGGGTGAACAGTACCACCGAGCCTCTGCCCACCAGAGCTCAGTAACAGCACCTACCCTCTCCCCCCTCCCCCCACCCTCCAGTATGACAACTGAAAGTGTCCCCTGGGTGGCACAGTGGCCCCTGCCAGGAGCCATGCCATGCATTTCTCCTCAGGGTTTTAGCCCCGGCCATTCCCTCTGAGGAGGCCCCTTCCTGTGCCCGTTCTGCTTGCCATTCAGATCTCAGCGTAAACACGTCCCTCTCAGAAAGGGTAGTGCCCAGTGCAGAGCAGTCACTCCATTGATTTTGGCCTTTCTAAAATAAGCACTTTCACTCTCTCACATGTGTGAGTGCATGTGTCTATGCATGGATGCGTGTGTGTGAGCCGACTTTCCCAGCAGGATGTCTGCTTCATGAGAGGGTGCCTTGGTGTCATATATTCCTGTGCCTAGAACACAGCCTGACACACAGCACACACTCCAGTGAGGGTCACTGGGCAGGGAATGGAAGCTCATTGTTACTGCAGGGCACGAACCCAGCCAGGTGTCTGTTGCTGCTGCTAACACACCGGGGCGTGGGAGACCCGGGCAAGCCCTGTTCCTGTCAGGCCAGTGTCAGGCACACAGGGGTGTGAGCACCTTTGGTCGGTACAGGTTTATTTGTGTGTGTGTGTTTTTTTTTTGTTTTGTTTTGTTTTTTTGAGGCAAAGACTAGGAGCCACATTGGGATTGTGAGAGAAAAACTGATTATCCTTCCAGAAATGAAAAAGTTGGAGTCAAAGCGGAGGAGAAGATGGAGGCAAATGACTTCCAAGTTACTCGCCCAAGAATAAGTGTAAGCGGACGTTCCCTCTCCTCTGAGTGAGAGTCAGTCTCCTCTCCCGCACTGTCCTCACATTCTCTCAGACTCCTGCATGAATGAAGCCTCCTCCAGGGCTGGCGAAGGTCTTGAATTGGTCTTACTGCTCCTGCAGTCAGAGCTCTGACTATCTCACGAAGGATTATAGCTTCTCCTTGGAGAAGGGACAAGAATCCCCTAAAGGTCTGGGCATGCTGAGCCAGCAGAACAGTGATGGGGGATAGAGTGCAATGATTTTCTCTTCTGACAGTACCCATAATACATCTAAATACCAATGCACTTTAAAATGATTATTTATACTATAGTAAGTTACCCTCTTTCCAGTTCAGTTTCAGACCTAAAATTATGTATTTTAAGCAAAGTGACTTAAAACCCACATGAAGGTATTGTAAGGAAGCCTGGGGGTGCTCTGGGCCCAGCAGGGCGGGTTCTGGGTTCTCTAGGCACTCCCAGCAGCCTCCTGGGTTACCGTATTTTCTGGCATATAAGACAACCTAATTTTACAGTTAAAACGTAGGTTTAGGCCTATATTCGCTGTATAAGACTACCCCCCACTTCCGAGGCAACACCAGTTCTTTTTTTAATAGACCGCCTCTCTGACTCTGGCCAATCTGAGCAGGCTTTTCACTAAAACACAGTGTTTTTCATTTCAAAAGTTGTCTTATATGCCGGAAAATATGGTAACCAATTTGCTCACTGATTATACCTAGAGCAGTTGCCCACTGCCTCTCCCTGATCACTCTGTTTTTATAAACCTTTCATAGAAACAGTCAGGCTGCGTTGGTTTGCACGCCCAGCATGCTCCTGAGCTCTGGGTTGGCTATCTTTGCCTACGGTGGCACCATGTTGGAAGACCAGTAGGCTCCCAGCGTCCCTGGCACCACCTGTGACGCCAGGAGACTGAAGACTTCCCCTAGTCAGTCTTCACCACCTGGGAAACAGTGACTATAATTGAGAATATCAATCTCATTTGAAACATTCATGTTTCCATCATTATAATCTAGCATGAGTCATGAAATCCTTAAGTCACGCCTCAGATATTCTGGTCAACATGCTAAAGAAGGAAAAGAAGAAAGTTCAGGATGCCCTCCACGGATCTGGCATGGATAGAAACGAATCTAGACGTACACAGAGCTCGCCCCTCCCCCCAGGGAACCCGGAGGGTCCAAGGACATTGCCACCCTCAGCTCCCACCCAGGCCCAAGATTCTACCACTTTTGGGCACAGATCCAATTTGCTCCACAGAAAAACAGGTCAGTGATGTTTATTTATAAATATAGATTATAGAACCTTACATAGAATATCGTAAATTATACATCAGTAGAACAAGTAGAAATAATGTAAGCAATTATCATTTTACCATTACATTCATTGTAATTCTCATTTTTATTATCACTGATGTTTGTTGAGGTTTTGTAGTAGCAACAACAGCTACAAAAGACCCCATGTAAAGTGTATCCACCCTCAAAAAAAATTCCAGTATTCCTCCTTCTCCATTGTGGAATTCAGGAGAGCATCCTTTATTATTATTTTTTAATATATTTTTATTGATTTTTTTACAGAGAGGAAAGTAGAGGGATAGAGAGTTAGAATCATCAGTGAGAGAGAGACATCGATCAGCTGCCTCTTGCAGCACCCCCTACTGTGGATGTGCCTGCAACCAAGGTACATGCCCTTGACCAGAATCGAACCTGGGACCTTCCACTAAGCCAAACTGGTTTCGGCAGGAGAGCATCCTTTAGTGTTAAATGTGCAAGCATGAAAGCTCTATCAATTCATTTTTTTAAAAAAATTTTTATTGTAACTATCAAATAAATGAAATCTTGGTTTCCAAAACTGATGGCCGAACTGAAACAATGTCTGAGCTGTCATAGGGTTGAGAGGCAGGCATAGCTGGGTCCGGGGCTACAGCAGAAAAGTTAACTTTGGAGACAGGAACCAAGACTTCCTCCTGACATGGGAGGGACGGGTAAGGACAAGCGCTGCATTGCTGAGGTGATGATGCAGAGCTCAGTCCTAAATCCGAAGGAGCTGTCTGCAGCAAGATAACTTAACGACATGGTCAGAGTCTGCCATCGCGGGCTGTAAGCAAGCATTTTCACAGTGTTGCACGACCCAGGGGCTCCCCCACGGCAGCTCTTGACCAATATGTCAGTGTCATAGCCACTGAGCCTCCAGAAGCCCTGGTTGGCGTGTGCACTTTCCTTTTCCATTAGACCAGCTGCATGCGATGTTCAGGAATGTGGCTGATGCCTTTCTCTGGAACACGTGGAAGAATCTGAAGTATGGAATGTACTAGAACAAAGGTTTAAACGCTTCCCTTTGGACAATATCAGTTGACATTTTCTGTAGAAATATTTTCTGTGTAAACGTATGTTGGGATGGTGCCCTGACATGCAAGGTTTTCTAGACAATTTGGCTTACGAATAATTTGAGTCTGGTCTCACTCAGGAAGAGATTTTTTTTCATCTATAAAGGCAAAATTGAGAAGCCTGAGTATATAGATAGCAATATTATATCCCTTTATCTCCTTTTAAGTTAAATTAAATTTATTGGAGTAACATTGGTTCATAACATACATAGTTTTCAGGGATGCAATTCGACACCTGTGTACTCTACCACATGCCCCCACCTGATGTCTAGATTCCTGCCGTTACCATATATTAGAACCCTCTTGCCTTTTAATTCGAAGTCTTTTTGCTCTGAATATTTTTTTTAGCAAAACTGTAGGGTAAATTCAAAGTCATAAGAGACCAAAAGTGCTGTTTTAGCCTTTATCATGGTGGCTGTGGAGAGGGAGAAGCATTACTTCTGTGACTGATCCAGCTGGTCACCTGTACTCTGTGATGGGTGACAGCAGGCTAGAAAAGTAAGTGGCCTTCTGAGTGAGTAAATTGATCCATTCATTCACCTACTAGAGGCCCATTGCATGAATTCGTACACTGGTGGAGTCCAGCCGGCCTGTGCCCGATGGTGGCCATCAGGGATGGGATGGCTGGTTGTCAGGGACCGTGTCTGGTTGGCCAGCCAGCCCCACCCCAGGTTGGGGTCAAGGTACTCACTCAGCAGTGGGGCCAGCCAAGGGGAGGGGCCATGGGCCTTCCAATTGTTCTGCTGTTTGGTCAATTTCCATATTACCCTTTTATTATATAGAATTTGTTTATTCCTTTATTCCTTCAGCACCTATTTATTGAGTACACACTTGGTTTGAGGTATTGTGCTAATTATTATTATTATTATAACTAAAGCATACATAACCCTTGTATGTATCAGGGGCTATTCAGAGTTCTCTACCTGAATTAACTTTTCTAACCTTTACTTAAGTTCTTGTTTTACCCCATGTTACAAACGAGGTCGCACATGGACAAACGCAGTCTCTGACCTCAGAGCCCTTGAGCAATTAGCTACAAAGCACGCCTCTCTGTTACTGAGAGAGCACTCTCCGGGACCCCTGCTCAAGCTAACCCCAAAAGGGCGCGTGGTGCGAGTGTGGGGAAGGAGCTCTGCAAGAAGAACAATCACTTGGGTAGCTTTCAGGGCCTTTGTGGGAGAAAGGAGCGTTTGAAGAAGCGAAGGGGCTGGATGGTTGAGATTGTGGAGTGAGAGGCTGGGAAGAGCAGATTGGCAGACGACAGGAAGTTTGCACATGCAATTAGAAGGCCTTTATCTTAGTCCAACGTGAAGGATGACATGAAGAGAGAGAGAGGTGGGGGATCAGAAGCCTTTAGGTCCTAGGGGACCTTTAGGTCCTAGGCGACGATGCTGTAGAGCACATGTGTCAAACACAAGGCCCGCGGGCCAAATCCGTCCCGCCAGGCCTTGCAATGTGGCCCGCACCACGCTGTCATCACTGCACTCCGCTGCGTTTCCATCACAATGACAGTTTATGACTGTTCAGTAAACCATTCGGCCCGCGATTTAGGCTGGATTTTAGATTTTGGCCCCTTCTCTGATTGAGTTCGACACCCCTACTGTAGAGCCTAAGACCATTGGAAAACACAGATATTTGCATTACGATTCATAACAGTAGCAAGGTTACAGTTATGAAGTAGCAACGAAAATAAGTTTATGGTTGGAGGTCACCACAATCTGAGGAACTTTATGAAAGGATCAAGGCATTAGTAAGGTTGAGAACCACTGCCTTAGTCACAACGCAAAGGATGGGATGAAGAGAGAGAGGTGTGGGATCAGAAGCCTTTAGGAGGTGGAGTAAAAGGGCCTGGTGCCTTCATAAAGGATATGTGTGTGGGGGGCGGAAGTGGGGGAGAGGTTGGAGGCCGGTAGGTGAGATTGGCCCCATGGTGTTTAGGTGACTCTCCATGGACATAGAGAAGAGTGCCTCCCCAGCTCTGCAGCCAGAGGCACTGTTGCCATGGGAACATAATCTTGGTGTGTCTGCTGGCATGAAAGATCCCAGTGAGTTCTCACATCAGAACCTCAGACTCATGAGGGAAGGAACTCTGTCTACTGGCCTTTTCCAAAGGCACACACCATGTGCCATGCAGACATGGCCTCGCTGCCCAGCCCCTCGCCGTGTGCGCCAGACCCTCTCTATTTCCATTTTCTCTTGCCCACACCATCTCTCTTCTCATAATTCTCCCTCCCCTCAGCAGCTCATAACCTCTCTCCTAACTCATCATTACAGTCAACTCTCAGCCACTCTTTCCCTCTCTTGATACCGCTATCGAGAAAGTCTATAGTTTTGTTCGGAGAATGAGTTAAGTTTACTTGAATAGAAAAATCACTGAAAAAAAAATAATGGAAATTGTTTTCGAAGTCCAAGTACAAATGAGGTAAAAGAGATTTGGCACAAAGCCTCGCAGTTGAAAGGGTTTCTGAGTTGTTTTAACTGTCACTGGATACGGTCCTAGCAATAACTCTGAGGAGGAGCAGGCTCTCAAATGGGCTGATAATGATCTGAGCAGTGGAGGAGGCACTGCTGGGGGATTGGTTTTATTTTTTTGGCAAAACTACAGGTAGGATGAAAATGGCTGTGGATGAGCCCATGCTGTACAAGGCAACAGGTAATGGGATCGCTCGTGGCAATGGTTAAGGTCCTCGGAGCTGGTTCGGCTTTTATTATCGCATTATTTTATACAAGCAGCTTGCGTACTCTAGACCAAATCCAAAAATGCATTAGCATGCTGTTTGGAAAGTATTTCTGCCATATGTAGGTGTTGTCCGTTGCCATTAACCGTCCCCGGCCTGTCCTTAATGTGGAAAGCAAGTAAATTTGGCCATCTTGTATTCCGAGACCTTGTAAATTGTCTCCCCTTTTGGATGACCCCCTTTTTTCACTTACCCCCACTTTAAGCTGAAAATTTCCCCTTTCAAGCTACTCCTGTGGAAAGGACATGAAACCCAATTCGTGGTTCTCTGGAGAATCAAAGCCACGGGGCTGCCACAGAGGAGGAGGGGAGAGGCGCTGGGAATGTTGTTGTTTTGGGGGTTACATGTCTGTTTTGGTTTTATTGAAATAATAGGAGAGGTTGTTCAGCTTTGCCGTTTAGAAAGAGGCATATTGTTCTCTTTAAAATAGCAGCAGTTTTATAGTTTGTTTGGGTGGGAGTTCTTTGTTTGGGTTGGTTTTTTCTTTTTTAGCTTTTTGTTGTTGTTTTGGTTTGGGTAGGGTTTTTTTGTTTGTTTTTTTATTTTTTTCTTCCTGTTTCAGTTCTCTGACTGTAAGCTCCAAAATAGTCACCCGGAGCCCTCAGTGTTCTGCAGCCCGTCCTCTCCCTTCCACTCTAGGAGATGGTAACAGAGCCCACCCATCATAGGTGATGTCACTGACATTTAAAAAGGCGAATTGATAGCCAAAGCCAGGGCTCCAGACTGGTTTCTCTTACTCCAGGAGCCTGTGTTCACTCTCCAGGATGTTCAGGAAGGCCAGGGCACCACTGCAGAGGGTACTGAGGTGAACTGAGAAAGGCTCTCTGACTCTGGACCCTCACTCACACTTAAGTAAGGAGGCTGGCTCCTAAGCAAAGAGCAGAAGATAAAGCAGCCAGTGCTGTCACAGGGATAGAAGCAGTGCTGTGGGGAGTCGGCAGAGAAAAGAGGAATGTCAATAAGCAGATGGGGAGAAGCATTCCAGAGCCAGGGACATGGAAGTTGGGTCTCAGAAGACTGGTAGAATTGGGAACTCAAAGATGGAGGGGAGAAGGGTCTAAACATCCTAGGTTTAAAGAATATTATGAACAAAGGTTTGGGAACAGGACACAGAAAAATGTGTAGAGTTGGCAGGGATATTTGT